AGTACTACATGTTCTCACTCATAAGCAGATTCTGAACATTTACCATAATACTATAAGAAAGAGATTGGACACTGCCAGGGAAGGGAAGGGAGGGCACATGACATCAATAAGAGTACCTGATCTCAAACCAGGAAAAGTGGGGACCAAAGGGAAGCCCAAACTTTACTTGTACAATAACCACTTGTATACCTAATCCTGAATTGTATCCTACATCTTTAAAATAAAAAAAGTACATGAATAAAAAAGATATGGCAGTTTCTTTATTAATTTATGCAATATAGACAACTAAATTGGAAATGTAAACTGAAAATTCTCACTGGGGCTTGGATTATCTCGCTAAAAGCATGAATTAAATATAAGAATATAAGAAATGTCATAATAGATTAAATCAATTGTTTATAGAGCATAGTAGTTTATGGAAAAGCATGGTATTTGCTCTCCACAACATTGACCTGTCTTGAACATCCATTATATTCCCTTAGTAATACATTACATATCAACGTTCTGAAATCAATTTTCTACAAAGACCTTTTTTGATCCTATTTCTTTTTTCAGTCAATACTGCCTCTTTACTAATGAGCATTTTTTCCACTTGTGTATACTTCATTTTCATGTTCCAATGACTGTGTAAACTTGCCTTTTCAAAATACCCACTATAGTACACTATAATTTGGAATACATGCTTAACACATTCCTTCCTTTCTTTTGTCTTATTCTTGCTGACTTCTAACTTTCTCATTTGAAAAGTTTGAATTTTCAGCTAATTTTATGTGAAAAACTTTACATTTTTTTTGCTCATTTATTACGCAGACCGATTCCTCTATCATGTCCTTTATAAAGGAGAGCAATGAGTATTATGCATACATTCACAGGGAGCGTGACTGTAATTTTGTTTATGGATAATATTTACTTCATCACCATATAAGGATAATGAGCAGTTTGTTGTCCTTATTGTTACAGCATCACATTAAATCATTGTTTTGAGCTAATAGTTCTGATATTCTTTTGCTTGATATCTACTACCTTTTGTATTAAATAGATTTCTCAAACAGAAATACTGACAACACTTTTTACTCTGAGAGTAAAATTACTGAGAGTAATGTGATTTCAAACCAGTACTGAACAAATATTCATACTCATAGTACTTCTGGATTTATGCACTTTTAATATTCTTTGAACTTGTATAGATTAATGTATTAACCTATATTTGTTAATTTGTAGGCAACTCATTCTTTTAGTAATTCTCCTCAATTCTACTAATAAAATCATCCCTTCAATGTCTGCACATGTGCTATACCCTGCCTCCCATGTGAGGCCTTTGTTTCTATAAATGAATAAAAAGTATATTGGAGTGATTTTGTCTTCTTCTGTCTCAGTATCTTATTTTTTCTTTTCTTATTTTTTTCTGTTGCCTTCTAAAGTTAACTCTTAGATAATTACCAGTATATTTAATTGATAAACTTAAGTTGATATTTTTGCAATTAATTTTTTTAACACATCTTATGTATAATTTCTTCATATATATACATCTACTATGCTGTGACCCTCAATTCATCACCTTTAAAATGATTTGTTTCAACCAGCCTAAATGTGTAGCTTATATGTAGACTGCAAAATGAATCTGAGAACCAATAAACCTGAATACATTATTTTTCAGTATAGCAATGTGATATATTAAAGATCTTCAGCTTTGAGGAACACATATTGAAGCTAAATGTGGACTTTAGAAACAAAAAATTATTTATGATTTCTCAAATCCTTAAAAATAATAAATGATTTATATATGCACAAAAATTCTTACATATTCAATATATCTGTGAAATATTCCAGGGGCATCATGTTTAGAGCTTATCATATTGAAATGACATTTTCTAAAATTGAACTTAAATGACTGTTAAAGGAAGTGAGATATTATAGGACACTCTGAATACCTGTTACTTGCTCTTAGAACAGATGTCTTCCTACAGCAGAGAACCATTTAGCCTTATATAAGAAAATATAAGCTTATCTCTTCCCATTTTTCCTGTAGCAAATATGTTGCTACTTCTTGAACCGAGATCTTCTAGTCTAAAGAGTGTGTACCCAGTTCAGTGGAAAAAGAAAAAAAAAATACCGTCCTCTTTAAATTGTCTTTTAAAAAATTCAGAAAAATCTAATACTTGGGGAAAAAGACCGGAACCAGAACAAGAAAGATCTTTTGTACGTGACTGGTGGTGTTATTGCCTTTCCTAAGTTCCTTGGAACACACTGAAGAGTATTTGAAACTGCCTCATATGGTTTGTCCCCTCCAGCCTGACATGGCACCATTCCGTAGCATAACGATGACATAAGCAAGGCGATTATAAGCTGACCCATAAGGGACCCACATAAGCTGATCTCTCTTCTTTACAGATGACACAAATAGAAAGCTTTGAATAAGAGTGGAAAGACATACTGTCATTTGTCTTTTTCCCTGAAAAAGCTGGGACACATTCTGCTCAGCCAACATGTTCCCTGAGGAATGTGATTTAACTTCCACTTTTCACACAGTAAGAAGCAACACCATAGACCTGTAGGGAAGGTGATGGCAGCCTGGGAGAAATTTGGATAAGTGTTTGTCACTCTGGTGTTTTCATATGACCTGACTCTCATTCTCGATTTAGGTACTCCTTGACCTGAAAATGTAGCCACAGTATGCGTTTCTTTATCTGGCTTACCTTAATTCATAATGTGCCTGTCACTCCTTCTCCTACTCCCATCCCATGCAGCCTCTTCCTGGTTTCCCTTGCAAGCTACCAGTAGAGCCTTCCCCTAGGTGTCTATACACGTATTTACACTGTGTTTTCCCCAGAAGGGACTTTAGTTTCAGAGAGAAGAAATGCATTTCAGCCCTGAGCTATATACAAAGATACCTACATCAAAGTAGCCTAGGCAGTTTCCCACTCCTTTGGCCAGATCTGACTATTCACATATCTGGCAGCTTCTTTAAGAACCCTTTGGTAGTAAAGGAATTAATATACCCCCCTTCTCCCTAGCTTTTCTCCCCTCCTCCCTCTATCAAATGACTGATTTTTATGCATGAGATAATAGACAAGCCTTGGGTGACCTGTTTTTTTTTCTTTTTTTCTTTTTTCTTTCTCTCTCCCTCCCCCTCCTTTTTCCCTTGCGGTAAAATAGTGCTGAAGAAAGAGGGCACTAGTGTACAGCCCAGATCGCATCCTTGCACCGTCTGGATTAGAGCTGAGGCGTCTGCAAACCGAGCGCGACCGCGGTCCTCTGGCCCCGGGACCATAGCGCTGTCTACCCCGACTCAGGTACGTCTCAAGTCCATAACCTCCAAACAGACTCAGGTGAGCGGACACTTCCTCGAGGCGAAACCCACCCACAACGGTAAAGTATCAATCCATTAGATTTTCCTCCTGGTCCCAGGCGCATCCTCGCTTATTTGTTTCTTTTGGTCCTGTGTCCCTGGGAAGCGTCGGGACCCATGGGTGCCTGGGTTGTCTTCCCCCTTTTGCCTGCCTCGTCTCCTGTGTTCTCTCCGCCCGTTCCAATAGCCCCCTTTTCGTCCGACTCTCACCTTGAGAAAGAGAGCCAGGGAGGAAAGGGAGAGAGAGCCAACTTCAGCCCCGCAGGCTGCTGAGATTTGGCGCCTCTGTCCCCAAGCGACTGGGTTTGAATATATACCTGCGGAAGCTGTGCAAGGCGAGAATGAGGATGGAGGGATGAGGAGAAGCGTGGGAAGGGGTGTGTGTGTGTGTGTGTGTGTGTGTGTGTGTGTGTGT